GCGTAGTAATTATTAATGCTAAAGAACACAAAAGTCATAAAATGAGCTAAGTGGCTCAATAATGCAAGCTGGAGAAATATCTTCTCAAAGTTTTCTAACAAAAGGAATGACTGGAAGTAAGAGTGGAACAGCAAAACCCTGAATATATACGAAGTGGGCAACTGCTTGATTGATTATTTAGTGCTAAAGTTTTCAAATATATAAGAAAAAAAAAGTCTGAAAACCTGAGTGAAAAAGTTTCCTGTCTTAATAAACTCAGTGACTACACCAGCAGACAGTTCTTTTAAATCTGATCATGCAGCAAACAGCATTATCTTTGCTGTAGTTGGACAGACCAAGTGCACAGGAGGGTCTGGGCGAAGAGAGTATTTTCCTAGTGTGGTCAGGGTGCGCTGAAATTCCCCCGCCAACCACTTAGATTTATCCAATCCCATAGAGCCGATGCTGGAAAACTGGCCAATCACTGGCCACCTTTCCTCGCCAGGAATAGGATTTGTATGCTCGTACAACAGCTTAAAAACAAACAAAAAAACAGAAGAAGGGAAAATCCAGTCATATGTTTTGCATATTTTAGCCATTTTCCTTCTAAGCATTTGCATTTTGCAGAAAATTATCTATTCTATAAACATTATAACCCAACTTTTTAAAAGCAACACCTCAGTGGTGATATAGTCGCACAGTAAAGTTGAAGGGAAATCTTTACCTTCCTCAGCCTCAGGTGGCCCCAGCGCTCCATATCTGAACCTACATATCTTCCTGGGGTTGAGCCAACTAAATATACCCTGATAACAGAAGACAAAGGTAGAACAAACTGTAATCCGGGCGTTATTGCACTGATTATATTGTTCTGTCTCTTTGCATCTCAAAAAATAAGATAAGAGGATATAAGATAATATCGGATACATCGTCAGAGCTCGGAAGCTTCTTCGTTACAGAAACCAAAACTTAAACTAATGAAAAAATGAATAAAAATAAATAAAATGAAAAAAAATATCCAGTGACTGGCAGTTTAAAAAAAAAGAAGAAGAAGAAAAAAAAAAAGCCTTGTTGGTGCTAGAGGTCCGAGCAGAAAGACCCCAGACTGCTTTGAGTTGGTAAAAAGGCATCAGTAACTCAAATAGCCACTTGTTACAACCATGAAATACAGAAGAGCATCTTGTGTATACCTGGTCTCTGACAGGTCATGCTCTTTGATTCTCTGGATCCACTCTTCAAGTTCTGGAGCGCGGTACGATGCCAGATACTCCAGCAGGTCCCTCTTAAAGAAGGTGGGCGACTCACCAGCGCTTGCACTGCTTTCCTTTGGTAACCGAGGGAACAGAGGGCTCATCCACATCCTAGGTTGGGAAAAACTGATTTAACGACATTTTCACAACCAAGCGAAACATTTAATCACAATATGATTATTATTTATAAGTCTCTATACTTTTAAATTGGCTCATAAGAAGTAGGGCTAGTAGTCCAACTTGCAGACTCCAAACCCTTCTTGAACTAGAAGGGCTCTTTTTCTCTGGTGATAAACCACATTGCTACCAAGCTGCATCAAATTTGGCTTGGTAGTCTTCCCATGTCCTTGATAACAGACAAATAAACCACAACGACAACAATAAATAAAGAATAGACGTACCCTTGTGTTTTCTGGTACCAGTCAGCTCTGATGAGATTAGAGGTCAAAATGATGACTCTGAAGCCTTCCTCATACCACAGCAACATCATTTTCCTGATGACACACAGCAATACAATACAACAAAGAGCAAGCTAAAAGGCCTGTAATATCTGCAATGTGGAT